TAATTCCCAGGACAGGCGTTATTCCCAAAATAAGATTTATTCCCGGAATATCGGCCCCTTCCTGTTTTCCTGGCTGCTGCTGGGGTGAGGATTCTGCAGGATTCCCGCTGGAATTACATGGGATTCCCTTGGGATTCCTGTTGGATTTCCATTGGATTTTCACTGGATTTCCATGGGATTCCCTTGGGATTCCTGCTGGATTTCCATTGGATTTTCACTGGATTTCCATTGGATTCCCGCTGGATTTTCACTGGATTTTTGTTGGATTTCCGTTGGATTTCTGTGGGATTCCCATGCGATTCCTGCTGGATTTCCATGGAATTCCCATGGGATGTGGGATTCCCGCTGGATTTTCACTGGATTCCCAGTGGATTCTCATTGGGATTCCCATTGGGATTTTCACTGGATTCCCATTGGTTTTCCATGGAATTCCCATTGGGTTCCAGTTGGATTCCTGCTGGATTTTCAATGGATTTTTGTTGAATTTTTGCTGGATTCCCATTGGATTTCCATGGAATTCCTACCGGATTCCAGCTGCATTCCTGTTGGATTTCCATGGGATTCCCGTTGAGATCGCCACTGTATTCCCCTTGGATTTCCATGGAATTCCTGCTGGATTTTTGCTGGATTTCCATGGAATTCCCACCGGTTTCCCACTGCATTTGGTTTTCCATGGGATTCTCATTGGGTTCCTGTTGGATTTCCATGGAATTCCCATGGGATTTGGGATTCCCACGGGATTCCAGTTGAGATTCCCATTGTATTCCCGTTGGATTCCCCTTGGATTTCCATGGAATTCCCGCTGCATTCCTGTTGGTTTTCCATTGGATTCCCGTTGGATTCTTGCCGGATTTCCCTGGAATTCCCGTTGTATTCCTGCCGGATTCCCATGGGATTCCCATTGGATTCTCGTTGTATTCCCGCCGGATTTCCCTGGAATTCCCGCTGCATTCCCGGATTTTCACGGCAGCCGTTTGACCATGTAGGGCCCCTCGAGCTCGTAGCCGATTTTCCGGTAATAATTCCGGGTGCCGACCCCTGCAGGGAACAGGGAGAGAAATTCCAGAGGAATTCCCACCCGGAAAAATCCCGGAGTGGAGGGAATGGGAAAATGGGAATGCGAAAATGGAAATGGGAATGGGAGAAATGGGAATGGGAAAATGGGAATGGGAGGAATGGGAATGGGAAAATGGGAATGGGAGGAATGGGAATGGGGAAAATGGGAATGGGAAAATGGGAATGGGAAAAATGGGAATGTTGGAAAAATGGGAATGGGAACCTTGGGAATGAGGGAAAAACGGGGAATGGGAACCCTGGGAATGGAGGAGAAATGGGAATGGCGGAAAAATGGGAATGGGAACCTTGGGAATGGGGGAAAAATGGGAATAGGAACCCCAGGAATGGTGAAGAAATGAAAATGGTGGAAAAATGGGAATGGGGGAAAAACGGGAATGGGAACCCTGGGAATGGTGGAAAAAATGGGGTGGGGCAGCAGAAAATTAGGAATTTTTTTGAACAGAAAAATGGAAAAGCGGGAAAGGCTCCGGCTTTTTTACCAGCTCAGATTTTCAATTCCTGATTAATTTTTGGGTTTTTTTGGGATGGGGTGGCAGAAAATGAGGAATTTTTTAATGGAAAAACCTGGAAAATTGGGGAAAAAAAAATCTCGTTTCTCCGGGATAATTCCGGATTAATCCCACCCGGGAAATTGAGATAAAAATATCCCAAAAAACCCCAAAATCCGGGATAAAGCCCCAAAATACCTGAAATGACGGCGATTTTCCAGGATCCGTGCTCCTCCAGGGCGATCCGCTCCGCCTCTTCCATCAGCAACATCCCGAAGCCCTGGGATGGGAAAAATATGGGAAAAATGAGGAAAATTGGGGAAAAAGGGAAAAAGGGGAGAAAAATGGGGAAAAGTGGGAAAAAAACAGGAAAAAAAAGGGGAAAATGCAGGAAAAAATGGGGAAAAATGGGAAAGATATGGAAAAAAATGGGGAAAAAATGGGAAAAATACAGGAAAAAAGGGGAAGAAATGGGAAAAATGGGGAAAATATGGGGGAAAATGGGGAAAAAATGGGAAAAAATGGGGAAAATACAGGGAAAAAATGGGGAAAATACGGGGAAAAAAAGGAGAAAAAATGGGGAAAAAACAGGAAAAAATGGTGCTGGAATTTGCTGGGAATTTCAGGAACACCTGATGCTGGAATTTGTCAGGAATTTTGAGAGTTCTGAGAACACCTGATGCTGGAATTTGGCGGGAATTTCAGAACACCCAGCACTGGGATTTTTTGGAATTTCAGGCACACCCAGTGCTCGGATTTTTCAGGAATTCCGGCGTACCCGATGCTGGAATTTTTTGGGAATTCCAGAAACACCCAGTGCTGGAATTGTTTGGGAATTCCGGTGTACCTGGTGCTGAAATTTGGCGGGAATTCCAGGAACACCAGATTCCAGAATTTGGCGGGAATTTTTGCAATTTCACGAACACCCGATACCGGAATTTTTCGGGAATTCCGGTGTACCTGGTGCTGGAACTCTTTGGGAATTCCGGTGTACCTGGTGCTGGAATTTTTGGGGAATTTTTCGGGAATTTTTTTGGAATTCCAGGTGTACCTGGTGCTGGAATTTTTTGGGAATTTTGGGCATACCCGATGCCAGAATTTGGCAGGAATTTTTCGGGAATTCCGGGCCTACCTGGTGCTGGAATTTTTCAGGAATTCCGGGGTACCCGATACCAGAATTTTTCGGGAATTTTTCGGTAATTCCAGGCGTACCTGGTGCTGGAATTTGGCTGGAAATAGGAGCATTCCAGGCACACCCGGTGCCAGAATTTGCCGGGAATTTCACAAACACCCGATACCGGAATTTTTTGGGAATTTTTCAGGAATTCCGGGCGTACCTGGTGCTGGAATTTTTTGGTAATTCTGGGTGTACCTGATACAGGAACTTTTCAGGAATTTTTTGGTAATTCTGGTGTACCTGGTGCTGGAATTTTTCGGGAATTTTTCGGGAATTTTTTGGGAATTCCGGGCGTACCTGGTGCTGGAATTTTTCGGGATTTTTTCGGTAATTTTCCGGTAATTCCGGGCGTACCTGGTGCTGGAACTTGGCGGGAATTGCGGGGTACCTGATACCGGAAGTTTTCGGGAATTTTTCGGTAATTCTGGCGTACCTGGTGCTGGAACTTGGCGGGAATTGCGGGCGTTTCCGATAACGGAATTTTTTTGGAATTTGGGTAATTCCGGGCGTACCTGGTGCTGGAATTTGGTGGGAATTCCTGGCACACCCGATACTGGAATTTTTCGGGAATTTTTTGGGAATTCCAGGCGTACCTGGTGCTGGAACTTGGCGGGAATTGC